CGGCATCGCTAGGTGGGCCAAGTACTGGTGGTTTAATGGAAGAGATCACACTTCATGTAGAAAAATAGCACAATGTTTGAGGCCTTACTCTCGCGGAGGACACAATGCACAAGTACAAACTGTAGCAGGACAGTACGACATAGCCCTTATATCTATCTTTATCAGCAAGCAAGTCAACAACCTGGACTCCATAAGAAAAATAACAAATAAATAAAAATAGTAGGGTGGAGGTCTTATAAGGTAACAGGCTCCAATTACCAGAAACAAAAAAGAAGGGGTAAGTCTGTTTGTGTCACAAAAGAGTTTTGATTTGTTAAGAAAAGAAAAAAATAGTTTCAATTCTTTCGAATGCATTTGGCAAAACAAAATACGAACGGGCAAAAGCAATGCCCCTGTCCAAACAAAAAGAATCTTTTTTTTTTTTTTTTTTTTTTTTTTTTTTTGGAAAGTACAGCCAGACTCAGCCAGTCGCTTAGCTAGGAGAGGTGATAAGAGCACCACCTAAGTAAACTGACCAGCCTAAGTTGGTCCTTTCTCTAATATGTCAAGATTCCAGAGTCCACTTCTCTGCTTTTTAAGGACAAGATCGAACAGTCAGGGTCTTAAAGTTTTTGATTTGCAACTCAGCTTTTTCATGGTGAATTCAGTTCTCCACAGATTTACCTTGAGCCTTAATCATGGGGAAAAAGTAGCCATAGAGAAGAGAGTGAAGTTGCAGAAGAGTGCCCCGGATTTTCCTGTAGCTCTGCCACATCACAATACTTGTCAGAACAATGTGTGTGTGTGTGTGTGTGTGTGTGTGTGTGTGTGTGTGTGTGTGTGTGTGTGTGTGTGTGTGTGTGTGTGTGTGTTGCATACCGCATAGGTGCAGACCAGAACAAGAACTGACCTTTCAATACAAGGTATAAGATAGCACAGCGGAAGACTTAGATACCAGTGATCCGAACAATCAATGTTGTAATGCAGCCCTGAACATACATCATCATCATCGTTTCATAGTGTGAATGGG